TAATAATAATAATAATAATAATAATAATAATAATAATAATAATAATAATAATAATAATAATAATAATAATAACAATAACAATAATATTTTTTTTTTCTTACATTTAGAGAATGAAGCTGAAAATTGGTGGATGGTAGATCTAGTAAAACCCTCCTTGATTTATGGTGTGAAAATTTACAATCGAGAAGGTATGTCAACACGTTCACATTATAGGATGTTTCAACCAGGGGTGGCGCCAGCGGGGGCCAGCCCTTCCCCCCCCTCCGTCGGGGAGAGCCGGCCCTCCCGTCAGGGGGAAAAGCACAATTCGTCGGGGAGAAAAAACAAATAAATGTGTTTTCTACATATTAGTAGACTCTAAAATCGATTTGAAACCCCTAAATTCTCAAAATTATTGCATTTATGAGATTTTCGGCAGCTGCAGCATTTGAACCGAGCTACCAAATGTATACGAGTACGTTGTTCATGGTTTTTCTTGCTAGAATGTGTAAATTGCAGTGGCTAAAGGTAAGGCTACCTTAGCTGTAATTCCAGAATCATGTAGGCCTACGTACTGTATCTCACCGGCGTTCGCCGTATCTTGTTCAGCCGTATCTTTAGACACAGGGAACGAACTACCACGGTATTTTGCGGATTTCCCAAAATAAGACATGAAAATTTATATTAAGTGTACAACGAACGGTAATAATAGAGATTTATCCTGTAATGTTTTATTTGGATTCCTTTTGACAATTATAAAGTTTAAAAAAATCAAAAAGGTAATTTTAAAGATGATTTGATTGATATTATGAACCAACTAGGCTTAGAATTGCCTCAAAAACGAGACCGTGGACAAGCTGAAGATGTTACTGCAATCAACTTGTGGCAAGTCAATTAACAGAATAATTATCGGGATAAGAGCCTTCCAATCCAGTGATTTGTCGGTGTTAGCTTGCTGGTTGCGAAGCGCTTGTTTTCTATCAGATGATCCCGCTCATACGGTTGGTGTCAACCTCATAACAAGCGTTTGTTCAATTACTACGATACTACCGGTGTAACTCACACCGTCGGAACAAGTTGAATATACAATTTGCTAGCAATAATAACATGGAGATCCATTAATACCGGTTTAATTTTATTCACTGAAATGTGCACCACATTTTGAAGAGATCGCCATTTGCACGTTAGAGAATGCAGTACACTATTTGGAAATGAATGTTTCCAATATTAGAGAACCCCACTGATAGGTCGTTGGACTTCCATTGCTTACCCTTCATGTTATTTTGTTCATATCAAATAATCGATCCCATTTTGTTCGCGTGCCCTTATATTTCGCGAAATTTGCGATAAGAAAACGATCATGAAAATTACGGGTACGCAAAAATTGAGAAAATTTGAACAAAAATGTTACACCCAAAAAAACGATCGTGAAAATATATAAAATTGCTGAAAGCTACGATAGTTTTGTCATAAGAACGATAGCGATTTCTGTTCAATATGGTTTTATTTTTTTTCCATTTTAAAAACAATAATGTATAGAATGTAGGAAGAATATCGAAAAAATTGGTAAACATCGTAATCTTAATGAAATGTAATGGTACAGGCCCATAAAATTCAGCAGAGACTGGGACTTTCCAGTGGCCAGTCATTTATTTGTTTGTTTGTTTTTTTATTTCATGCTCACCTAAAACAGAAAAAAAGTACAAAACAAAGTCATTCAAAAGTAACAGGAAAATAGCAAGAAAACAGGTCAGATTTAGCAATGGGTGACCCTTTAAACCCGAAGGTTAGTTAGTCCAGAAAAAAAAAATTATACACAGACACCAAAAGTCAGAATACTTCTAGCTAATGCTTAGGTATTGTACTCAGCCTGCATTGACAGTATACTATTAAAAACTTACTGAGCTTCCTGAAATTTTGCTAGTTATTGTCGCGAAATTCATTTACGTACATGTTAAATCCCGAAAATAAAAGGCCACGAAATACTTCATCAAAATCGCGAAAATTTAGAACAGCTGAAAGGGCAATCCACGATGTCATGGAAAAGTAGGGTCTACCAAGTTATAAAAATACTTATGGGATGTATCGTTGGTTAATAGCCTTTAATATATCTATGCATAACAACGGTACAAGAAGCAAAGAGATTTTTTTTGGCAGTATTTATTGAAAGATACTATATACATTCGATATATTTACATTTTGCTTAAGATTGCTGCAAGCCTTTAATATTTCTATGCATAATGGTACAAGAAGCAAAGAGATTTTTTGGCAGTATTTATTGAAAGATAATATATATACATTGGATATATTTACATTTTGCTTAAGATTGCTGCAAGCCTTTAATATTTCTATGCATAATGGTACAAGAAGCAAAGAGATTTTTTGGCAGTATTTATTGAAAGATAATATATATACATTGGATATATTTACATTTTGCTTAAGATTGCTGCAAGCCTTTAATATTTCTATGCATAATGGTACAAGAAGCAAAGAGATTTTTTGGCAGTATTTATTGAAAGATAATATATATACATTGGATATATTTACATTTTGCTTAAGATTGCTGCAAGCCTTTAATATTTCTATGCATAATGGTACAAGAAGCAAAGAGATTTTTTGGCAGTATTTATTGAAAGATAATATATATACATTGGATATATTTACATTTTGCTTAAGATTGCTGCAAGCCTTTAATATTTCTATGCATAATGGTACAAGAAGCAAAGAGATTTTTTGGCAGTATTTATTGAAAGATAATATATATACATTGGATATATTTACATTTTGCTTAAGATTGCTGCAAGGAACGATTGGATGGCGCAACCATTCATGTCGGAGATGACCCTAAGGGTATGCTGACTAATGCCCAATGTGGGGGAAAAATAACCGATGCAGAAATCAACGACTCGGCCGAGATATTTCTAGAGTGCATTCCACCACTTAAAGGACAATACGTCAGTGTCACGCTGCAGAACAACTATCTGACGCTCTGTGAGGTTGAGGTGCTTGGACTAGGTAGGCCTATGGATTATAATTATTATGTCATTGTGAATTAATTGTTTGAATGATATGTATGTATAAAAGAATAAATTCATCAATCAATGCCTGAATAAATGGTAGGCTTGATAATGTGTAATTGCCGTACCATAATTATAAGATAAAATAGTGTAAAACATTACATAAAAGAATAAATTTATAAATACAAATTTAAGAAAAATGTCAAAATATTACCTTTAACTATTAAAATATATCGCTTAAATTGAAAAAAAGTAAAATGAAAACAGGCTATTATTATACAATTTATAATTATTACAATTATTACCCTCACCATAATAGACCTAATAGTAGGCCTAATAATAATAAGTTATGGCATCTGAAAGTGACTGTTGACAAGTTTGATGTGGTTGTTTACTTGCTTTTTCTAAAAAGTCGGCTTCGAACATATTTGGGACGTTTAAAGTTATTCTGAAAGCGTAATGGAAGGTACCTGTGCTTTTATTAATCTTCTTTAACAACACTAATTATTCCCCAACCGAGACTTGTTTTGATGTCATGTGGATCGGCGTCGTTTCTGGTAGTGCCATTCTTGGTTTAATGGCCCTCGTGCAGTGAGCGTCAATTAGTGTACCTTCGATTTTTTTTAATTATAAGGCATAATTTGGTCGTTTATAACTTTAAGGTGAGGCCAGCCATCTGTTGATTCAGGTATTTGATTATGCCTTATAGTAGTAGTATTGTATAAGTCTTAAAAACTTTTAAAATCAAAATTTTAACCCCCTTACAATCTGACAATCAGTTACGTCTTCATCGAAGAGCGTAGACTAAATCTATTTTCCATTTTGAGCCTTTTAATCCTAGGCTTTCCTTAATAGGCTTTCCGATGGGATATCTAATAGGTAAGTATTCGTCTTTGCGGATTACTGGTATGAGCCATATATACGGGTACGATTAACGAGTTAGATAAACTAGTTTTTGCTCTGAATGATGTTACAATTTTTCATCAGGTTGTGACTTAGATTCTGGATCAAAAAGAGCCGTAGGATTTCTACCGTTGAATGTGTCGCACCTTCATTTTATTCTACAATCCCTCAATATGTGTCCTTTCTTCAAACGTCTTACTTAGAAACTCGTCACTGTTTTCTACATAGTGATCTTTAGAACACACTCCACATTCTAGCCGTCTGCCAGTCGTTGTAGTAGAAAAACTCCTAGCGAGCGATGTTTTTTTCTTTAATGTAACCGTTGCTGTACATTTATTAGTATTCTCATCCTATAATGGTTTATAATACTGGATTGTTGACGATTTTAGCTTCATTTTTAAGGAAATCACTAAATGTATCTTCTCCATCTTCCGTACAGTGGCTTGGGAACCTTTCCGCTATTTTCACGTCTTCGTTACTGCTAGCAATGCTGTATGACTCATCGCCACCTTTGTGTTGAGAAAAAAGAAAGGGTGCGTTTATTAAACTTAAAACAGGGCCAATCATATATCTTGCGCCTGTAAGCGCCAGCAATTGTAAACAGATCCCCGAATTTCTGGTCTAGCAGCTTCTTGTCTTTTGAGAATGCCTCTCTATGAAGCTCGAGTAGACCCGAAATTGCTTGTTTGGCAGGTCCATCGGTGTAGGTAGGCCTACCTAGGTATAATTTATCGGAGGCCGATTTCGAAAGCACATTCTACTTTCGGTTGAGTCTCTTGTTTTTTGGGGTTTTTTTTCTATTTATGGTAGGTAATAATTCTTAAGTCATTATACTACTCTATTTCAATTTCTGGTCGGACGGCAACTAACTCATTTTTGACCTTCATCCTTGCTAGTTCAGCTTGTATAGCTTTGATCTCAGTTCTTTCTTCTTTTTTTTTCTTTCAAATAAATGAGATCAAGTTTACAAAATCTTGATGACTTCGAAAGATACTAACAGCTAAAAGATAGTGTCGCTATACAAATCTTTTATTATTATTATTATTATTATTATTATTATTATTATTATTATTATTATTATTATTATTATTATTATTATTATTATTATTATTATTATTATTATTATTATTATTCAGGCGTCAATCGCTAAAGCATTCTATAAGGTTGGGGGCGAGATCTCAGATTGCGGTTTATCTTAATTTACAAAATTCATGCTCTGTGCT